AGGGCATGCACGGGCCGACTAAATTCCAAATTAGTCGTGCCGTCGTATCCAGCATAAATCACCTTCCCTCTGCTCATACGTGGTAAGTAGCCCCTCTAGCTTATATTAATTGATCTTTACCCTCGTACTGTCTTAGGAGACTTGTGCATTGATTTACTTCTTGAGAGAAGCATGCAAACGCAAAGATACACAACTGTTACCATTTGTCATTTGTAGTTTCAACACTTTGGAGCTGCCTCCTTATGAATCCTATGAGCAATTACGGGAACGCCTTTTGACAGCAATTCGGGAATGCAGCGAGGGCTATGGGATGGCCTGAGACCACTCGGCCGGATTCTTTCTATGTTCAATTTTCCCACTCACTTCTGTGATAAGCTCTTTCGGCTTCGAAATGATGACCAAACACGAAGCCCCCAGTTCTCGCCTCTTTCGCCATATCCCTCAAATTAATGGTACACAACCAAAAACCTCACAGAACGGAGCGCTGAATTGCATCATATTTTAAGCATAGGACGGGAGTACGCGAAGATTCCTACTGTCTTCTCCCCTTACCCCTGCCCCCACCCCCCTGCCTCACATCTCATCTCCACGGCCAACCAGTCGTGCCTATATAATTGCTATTATCCGAGCCTTTTTGTTCGTCCGCGAAAACGGCGGACGCACATATCCTTTTTGCTTACGCTCATTTCAGGTTGTAAGATTTACGGAGGGTGAGCCATTCTCCATAAGAGTTAGACGTCAACTCTCCCTTTGTGAAATGTAATCTTGTCCTTTTTGATATTGTGCCAATAAACTCTTCGAAACTTGAACGCAAACTGGCCGCCCCTGCAGCTGCTTTATATTCCGCCCTTTTGTATGATCATTTCGATCTATTCTTGCCTGACGCTTTTAGTAAAGCGATAACTTATTATTTTAAAAACTCCGAAAGCAGGAATCAGCCAGTTTCGGTTCCGTTACTTTTAACTCATAAGGTATGGGCCACGATTACCTAGCTAGCAAAACAACACACTTCGTCCAACAGCATCAGCACTGTGGTCATCAAGGTTATTTGGGCTGTCACAAAAGCGCAAGACACTTTTTTGCACAAATGCAGAAGCTTACTAATGAACTCAATAAAAAAAGAAGAGTATACAACATATTTACATGTTTAATTATTTGATCCACCATCTCAGAAACAGTCATGACTGTTGAGTCTAGGATGATAGCAGTCTCCTCCTCGCTTGGCACTTCCAGTGTCTTTAGCTGGCTGGTTACAAGGCTTGGAGGCATAAAGTGCCCTGTGCGGGTTTCTACGCGCTTTTCGAGAACTCCTTTTCGCGCGTTTAGATGAACAAACAGTATGGGGAGGTTTTCTGGTCCAATGAGCACGTCGCGATAAAGCCTCTTGAGCGCCGAGCACGCTAAGACGACATTGCTTCCATCATTTGAATTGCGGAGAAGAACTTGGTGAAGGTCTAGTAGCCAAGGCATGCGGTCTTCATCTGTCAACGGTGTTCCCAGACGCATCTTTGTCTTGTTTTCCTCTGAGTGGAAGTTATCACCTTCAACGAAAGTCCATCCTGTACGATGCATTAAGGCAGTACCAACTGTCGTTTTACCGTTTCCACAAGGTCCCATGAGAACGATGACCACCATCTAGGTAACAGTTGTAAATCGTTTAAGCAACAAGAAGTATTCAATTATTTTAAAAAAGTGTTCCGAGGCCTTTTGGTAGGTAATAGTGAGAAACAGTGAATTTCTGTGCGGGGAATTTTTCTCTGACGATTTACCTCACGACACTAATAACATAAAATGTGTAGAAATTTGGCGGTAAAATGCCTCTATTTTCCATAGCAGGGGGCCAAATCTATTTATTGGATTAAGTGCGGCATTGTGCCCAAGGAGAAGTCCGGCCTACTTGTTGGGTTGCTAGTGGTCCATGTCCGAAGTCCGTTTTTGCCATGGCAGGTGGGGCTGCGTACCCATTCTGCTAGTCCCCATCTATATTGTCGGTTCCCATGAACATGCTCTTCAGCAAGCAACTAAAGTGATCTTGTGTCTGTGTGACTCGGTAGTTGCTGTCTAGTTTGACTAACCAGTTTCGCCAAGGCCTGCGGGAAAATTAGTATACTTCTCTTAACTGCTTCCTGGAACTTGCCTGTCAACTTCTCTCAGCAACATTGTTATATCTCGGCTGAAAGGCCGCTGACTATTGATTAGATTGCGGTAATTGATACGATTTCGATCCGAGGTTCATTTTTTGTGGCAGCGGCCGCTCACTTTACGGTGCACGGCATTAGGCAAAGCATACTGCATTCTGTCACCAAGTGCAATATCTTGACTTGAGAAGTAATTCTATTCAATAGAATCAAATTTCCCGTCTGTTTAGTACTGGTATATAGCGGCAGATCCGCTTGGCTGGACGCCTGAAACTAAGTTATTCCTGAAATATGAGCGTACTGCGTGTACCCCATATCTTGTCCTAGAGCTGTCACACACTTGCGGAGAGTATGAACTCTGGACAGACTACTAACCAAGACTAGGGACTTTGAGAGACGATTATTAGTTTTCGTCAGTCAAGTTTACTCAAACCCGGGTTTTCAGCAATTTAGTGTTATTAAGTCCAGTGAGGTTTTAATGTACTCTCGGCTGCGATCCGGAATTTTAAAGGTGCCTCCGCCACACATGGCCATTTAGGTCTCCCTTATCTTTTTCTGCTATATACTATCTATTTAACTAGTCGCTGTGCAGCTGCCTGTGAGGCCTAGATCGAACCTGTACTGTTATCTAATAGGTTAAAGCATTTCCAGCGCAGGTATGGGTTTCTTTCTAAATCGCATTACTGGGTTCTACAACAGTTCCGGTTTGTAGTAATGCTAAACTACTTGTGCGGAGTACAACAATTGTGATCGTTCCTGAAACTCAGTGTGGTTGGAGACCGTAAATATGTAATTGGCAGAAAACAGCGAACCAACAACTTGTCAACTCCTGTAAAAAGCCGTTAGGTCACCATGCATATAGCATCCCCGTTAAGTGGCATTGCAAGGATTAAAGTGGAGGTGGCAAGCGAAGCAACACTTAATAGGCAAAGAGTTGACGCTTGATAAAATGAAGGTAATTAGTAGTTAAGACACCTAGACTATATTCAAATTCAAGTCGGGAAATTTTTTGACGAAATGGGCACAGGAACTATTGGGCGACACTGGCTAGCCTATATAAATATACGTACGTTTATGCCATCAGTTAACAGAGCTGTCTTTACAAAATATAAACCTGTATGTATGAAATTGTAATCTGAAGCGAAGTTAGTTTATGGCTGCGGTATTGCTTATAACCCATGTGGGCGAGAAGCTAAGCAAAATTAAGGTTAGAATAAGAACGTTGAGCAAACGCAGTTCCAGTAAGATCTTCTGACTTCCTTTTATTATATGTCGCGCAAGTTTCGGTTTTAATGGGTTTTCTATTCAACCATAGAACAGAACTAATAAACATTTGAATGAACTGTTATTTTCAGGTCTGTAAGGTCGACTACGGCGACACGAACATTGTTTTATAGAGTAAGCACCTACCAAGCAATTGCTTTGTTCGGAAGTAGCCGCTGGACACAAAGGTCTATGACTAGCTAGAGTTATTAATTTGGCGGCCTCGTCTCGAATGTTGCATCATTTGGCAAAATCACGTTGCGCAGGTAACAATGCGGGCACATAATATGCGAGCATCCCTTCCTCCGTTCCCGAGTGTTACTTCCGCCGCATATTTAAGATGGGTATCGAATTTCATTGAAAACTATCCGTAAGCTGTGTTGCGGTCGTCAAGGGATCCACTCAGGCCTCTTATAATACCGCGCCTGGTCGCGACTGTTCGACAAGACACAGGCAAATTGGTATACCGTCAGAAAGCATACGCAGCAAATGTGTTGTACTAAATGAACCTGGTGACAGTACGCCGACGAGTCGTCTGATACACTGCCATCAAGTGGATTTGGCCGCAGTACGAAGCGAACAACGTCATG